TGATGTGCACACCTTTCCCTCCTGGTGCTGTCACTAGCATTGTGGTCCTTCCTCCACATCACCAAGGACGTGGCCTCCTGGTTCACGCCACATCCGCAACACCTGCCAGTCTCTGTCCCCGGCTCCCACTTGCATGCTCACCCCACCCTCTGGCCTCAGCAGCCCTGGAGTTCATCCCTTCCCAGCTCCTCCCCGGCTCTCAGCAGCCCTCCTGTCCTAGCCTGGGCCTTGACTCTCCCTCTTGCTCCACCTCTAATGTCCAAAACACCCTCTGTGGTTCAGATAGTCCTGCTCTCCCCATCTTGCCATGATGTTGGATCATCTACCTCAAGACCTCTAATTTGCTAATCACTTCAAACTCAACTGTCATCTTATTTCCTATCATAGAAAATTTAAACCTTAGATTCCACAGTTCATTCTTTTAATTTCTGCTGTTATCATCTCAACTAGGTCCCTCTCTGTCTGCCTTATACTCCATTGAAAAATCCACCTCTGCAGTGACTCCATCCAAGTCTTTAAATACCAGTGAAGGGAAAACATGTGTTTGCAGCCTTCCCAAGTCAGAGGCACACAACTACATGCCTAGATTCCTACTCTCCACTGACCTGCTCAACCTTGCCATGCCATTCTGCAGTGTTTAATCAGCTTGCTTTTCCAAAGCAAGGTGAATGAGAACTCCATCCCTAGCAGCTGATAGTCTCATTCTGCCATGAAGAGACTGAAACACCTTCATCATCCTGCCATTCATTTCATCAGCCTAAGCCTCCACACTTGCCTCATTATCTCTTTCTCCTCTTGTGCCCTCCCCTCCTATCAGAGGCTCCAGTCCTTCTTTTCTCAGACTGTGTTCCCTTTAATAATTCTTCCCCACATCCCCATCCCTTTTCATTCTCCATTGTGACCACTGCATCTACATATACAAGTGTAATCTCCCACCTGACACACTGCTCTTGGCCCCAAAACTTTCTCCCATGATCACATTATGGTCCTTTAAGGACCAATTTCTTACACTATCTATTCCCCTCTATCCCATTTGCTCAACCAAGTCCAGCCTGCCATTCACGCCCACCTTTTGATGAGGTCATCAAAAACCTCATGCTAATAAAGCCAATGGATTGTTCTATCCTCGTTTACTGAAACTCTCACAAGCACGTAGCACTGTCCACATTTTTACATCAGCTTCTTCTCTATTCCTGGTCTCCTACCCCTCCACTCATTCTCAGGGTTGGCTTCCTCAAGGCCCTATTTGGCTTCCTTCTCTTTTCCCTCTATGGTGACTTCATGACAGTCTTTATGCACAAATTTATGTCACCACGTCCTGAATGTCTATCTTGACCTTGACCCCTTCAAATTTTGTTTCCTATTCATTAGGCTTTCCTTCATCCACAACATGACTATCTTAATGCCAGCTTATCTGAGAATCCTCCTCATCACATCCCTCCCTCCCACAATCAGCCCATCAGGAAGCCCATGACATCACCATGACCTCCTTCTCCCATGTCCCCTTCTGCCTGTCTCCACTGTTCCTATCCTGGGCCAGGTCACCACTTTCTCCCATAGGAATTACTGAGGCAGCTTCTTCTGTCTCTTTTCTCTTGTAGCCCCTTTCACTCCGTGTTCCACTCAATACCAGGAGTGACTCCTATGACACATACACCATGGCCTGAAGGCCCTGTACCATCAGTTCTCACCTAGTTCCTCTGCTTTAGCACCCACCATTTACTAATGTCTAATTACACTGGCCTTTTCCCATTTCTAGACCGGGTTCCAGTCTGTTACATTTGGCTACAAATTCTTTGCCAATTCTCTGCCCTATCATTCACTGTCCCATCAAGAAATGAGAGTCTAATTCTCCTATACTTGAGTCTTGGATGGCTTTAAGCGACTTTCTTAGCCAACAGAGTGTGGCAAAAGTTACACTACAATTTCTGAGGCCAGATCAGAAGCCTTTCAGTTTGCACCTTGGTCCCCCAGAACACTTCTCTGGAAGCCAGAATTATGTAGGAATTTCATCATCATGTTGGTGAAACCACAATATAAGAGTGTTTTCCAAGTTCAGCCCAGCCTTCCAGGTATCCTACCAAGGTGCCAGACCCGACACATTGGCTTCTCCAGAAAGGCTTTATCTTCCAGCTCAGTGCCATCTGGACTTTTCAAAGGATCTGCATCAATTACAAGGAACAACTACCCAGCTGGGCCCCATGATTAATTTCTGATCTACAAAATCATGTGTGAAGGCTCTGGGTGGGAAGAATATCGGCAAAAACATTGACCCTGGAAGCAACAACCATATATTCATACATGCTTCTCTCTTCTATACTCCCCACCAACTACTTCTTGTCCTTTAGCTTAACTGTTCTTAAAAGAGCCCTTCCAGACTGGCCCAACTAAAAATTTAAAATATCAAATCAGTACTGTGTCTACTTCTTCATTTCCTTATAAGAACTTAACAAGTAAACAGGCATCCAATTAATATTAATTTTATTTTCCCTTCTATAACAGGCTTTAGTAAATTACGGTCCAGACACAAATCACCTATTGTTGGTATTTTAACTAGGGTTTCATTAGGACACAATGACACAAATTAATTTATATATTGCACAGATAATTGACACGACAAAGTTAAGGTGTTGCCACAAAAACCAGGTGCCACACAAGGCCTGTAATATTTATTGTCTGGCCCTTAAGAACTGTTTGTCCAGCCCTTGTTCCAGTATTGATAAGGGCTCTATCTCCCTCTCTATATCTCTTGGGACTTGGAACTTAGTAGGTGCATAACTAATACCTGCTGAAAACACTAGAGGGCATGGAGGTCCAGCCATCAGCCCTATTACCATCAGTCTTCCTGGTGAGTAGGGCATGCAGGGGCTGGGCTAGTTCCCTTCTGATTTCACAGAGACTAAGGCAACTTGAGGTCAAAGTCCTGGAGCAGAGGCACCAGAATTCACGGGTCTCAAGTCCAAGATCAGCCCAAGAAGATCTTGCCACCTGCTCATGCTCACTTTCAGGGGAAGAAAAGGGTAGGGTGATTGGTAACGACCTCCTCCCACTTCCAGGAACCCACGTTTGGGCCAACCCTCAAGTAAGAGGATCCTCTGCTGCTATTCTGCCTAACAAGCAAGAAGTGGGACAGACCCTGCAGAACAGCCATGAAGGACAGGGGAAAGAGATTCTCCTCTGCTTCAGAAGCTCCACCCCAGGAAGAAGGGATGGTGACAAGGCAGGCACCACAACTGCCACTTCCTTGTTAAACTAGACAAGCTGGGGCAGGGGGCGTGTCAAACTGTGTGTGGTCACAGACTGGACATGCTTGCGCATGGGGTTCCACACTGTACTCATGTACAGGGAAGAAGCTGATTGAGACTCTGCCAGGGCCCCTAGGATGAGCTATGGATATTTGCCTGATGCTATGAGTTGGGAGAGCCCACTGCTCAAAACATATATCACACACATCTCCCACTTTTAATACAGTATCATCTATCATCTCACAGGCCCAGAAGGAAGCCCCCACCCCCACTTCAAGATCTTGATCTTAGGTTCTAGGAGTCTACAGTGGGTTTCCTCTACTGATGAACTCGAGTCTTAAGGCCCAAGACAGAGCCAGATTCTAGGAGTTCCAAGTCCTGGAGGGCTTCCAGTAGTTGCTCCCGGGCAGCACCAATGAAGGAATTTTCCAGGAAGGCAGGGAGGCCTCCCACACCATCCCGCAGGGTGTACAGGGGCACCCGAACCAGGCCCAGCACCTGTGAAAGAAAGGAGACAGGAGGCATTGGGATTCCAAGTAGCTCCTCATGTTACTTCAATCCTCTCTGCAAAGGATCTCTCTAAAGGTCTTCCCTCAAAACCTAGCATAGTGTGGCCCAAGGCTCATACTCCAGTGAAGCTTAGTAGGTCCATCCCCATGCATCCAAATGACCCGAGACAAACTATCCAGCTCTGAAAATATTGGATCCATATCACTTCTTGAATCCTCTACTGGCTCCTGCCTCTAGGATGCAGGAAGGGGCCTAGACCTCTGGTTCTGAAATGTAGAGGTCACACTGGCTGTATCAGAACCACTTGGGAACTCATGAAAAACAGATTCTCAGGTTCCTCCCATCCCATTCCACAACCAGCAAATATAGCAGTGATGCCCGTTACTCACTGTTTTACTATATGCGCTACTGAAGACAGCACAGTAATAGCTCTTTAATACACGCCCTGCCCATGATTCCGATACTTGCCAAAGTTTGAAAACCACCTCCATATACAATCTGTCTCCCTATTAACCTTGTCATAAGTATTTGGGTCATATTTTCTACCTAAGATAAACTGGGGCCTAAATTAACTCTAAGGGCACAGGTAGCCATGCCTGGCCACTATGACATTATCAGTAGGGATCAGCAGAGAGCCTAGGATGGGTGAATTCTAGAAAGGTCTCTGGGGCTGGTAAAGTAGGGAGGGAGAGCACTTCCCAGGGAGACCAGGTTGGCATTATTATCCTGATTGAAAATGATTAAGATCCCAATTACTTCTGGAAACTGGGGAAGACTGCAAGGTCTGGGCAGCCATGACCTCCTTCTAGGGAACCTGGCTAGGGAGGCTTTCCCTGGAAGGGGAACCCATGGGGTAAAGAGGGAGCCTGGATATGGGGCGGGTCCCGGCTAGCCCCACCTCCAGCCCGTGGTCCTTGGCTCTTGGTGCTCCAGCTTCCACAGCCTCCAACTGCTCTAGCGTCAGTCGTTTGGCATAGAAGTGAGCTACGACGCGTGGCCTGTCCCCTGCATGTGAGCTGCGGTAGTCTGTGCGCTCCACGCTGAAGACAGAGACCGCCTCGCCCAGCTCCTCGCGCAATTCACGGTTCAGTCCGTCCTCCAGGGTGCTGTCCTGTGAGTCCACGAAGCCACCTGGAAAACCCAGGCGCCCATCAAAGCGCATCTGCATCTGCAGGGAAGAGAAGGTTGGCTGGGTGTCTGGGCGGTGCGACCCGGGATGGCTCGGGGTGAGGGCGGGGAGTGGCCGGGCGCGACCTTTCCTCACCAGCACGGCGTACCGCAGTGGGATGCGGCCAAAGAGGATCCCCGGGTCGGGCGCGTAGAGCAGCGCGTGACAGGCATGCCGCCACCCAGGCCCCAGAGTTAAGGCCTCTGTCAGCTCCAACTTCCGGCCCCCGGCCATTGCTGAAACCTTTCCCTTCCTAGTCTGGACACCCACGTGTTCCAGCGGGGTGGGAGGGGGACGGGTCTTACACTGACCAATATGGGGCTGGGTGGGGCTGCCCGGACCAATCCTTGAAGCGATCAAGGGCGGAACTAAGGTTCGTAAGGGCGGAACTTTGTAGCTGGAGCCCGGCACCAATCAGTGTGGGGTTTTCTCCCTGGGAGCTGAGTGACCTTTGTGAAATTGAAAGCTTCCAGGCAGTTGGGCCTCACTCTGGCCAAGCTGAAGGTCCAGTCCTGTGGGTCCGGTTTGAGGCCTGTAGATAAAACCCCCCGTCACAGTCTAGGGTCAGCAGGAATTCAGGGTAATCTACAGAAAGCATAGGGTTTGTAACCTGAGCAGGATTTAATTGGAACAACACAGAAACTGCATTTGGTTTGTTCTGGATTATGCACAAATCAAGGAGCCTGTGGTTTGGGTTAGGAGGGAAATAGGCAGGTTTGGCTTCGGAGACCATACCTGTCCTAGGGCAGTGGTGAAGGAGAGAAGAGATGCGATTTACTTTTAGGAATGGTCGAGTTGAGGGTCTGACTAACTAGGGGCAGTGATGGGTTTGGTGTTAGTGAAATCACAGGGTACAGTGAGGTTGTCTGTGGGAAAAGGGGAGAAATGAATTGTGGGTGAAACTGTGGCATAGAAGGGAGAGTGAGGAGGAATCAGAGATAGAAATCCCCAAGGTTTCCTTGGGTGTTTGAGGGTGAATTCAAATGCCCTCAGACCTTTACCTTCTGATGGGGTGGGGAAGAGATGGCCTACTCTGCCGCAGAGGGTGGGCTATATGGGCCTGATGCTGAGAAACAAGATTCAAGATCCCTCACCCCAGTTCCATCTCCTCCATCTGAAAAATGCCCCAAACCAACAGTGTTGATTCCACCAAGGGAAGGGGAGTTTGCCACTTGAGACATCTGGGCATAAAGTCACAGCCTGTAAGCCATTGTTCATGACAAGAAAGAGCTCAGCACTCACCAAGACACAGGCTTGGGATCTTAGAACTCACTCAGTTCCTGCAAGTCCCCAGTTGCTCATCTATTAAATGGAGATGATACCAACCTGCTAAGATGCTGAGAAATGCAAAGCAGAATGTGCCAGGCACACAATAAATGTAACCATTCTTGGGGTTCAGGGTGGGGACACAGTGCTGTGTCTTACATTAAAGGTACAGGTTTTAGAACTCAGCTGCACTCATCATGCCTCAGCATTCTAAGGGCACAGGAGATGCTCCTGGCATCATCTCTCCCAGCTTACTCTTTGGAGAAGTGGGGCAGAGATGCCATCACTAACATCAGGCAACTGGACCAAAGTGATGATGAGGCCAGAGGTGTGATACGTCTGCCATTACCATGCTTCATTTCTAGGAGGCTGGGATAGTAATGGCTAAACACTAGGGTCTCTTTGCAAAAAATAACCTTAAGCTGCCAATTCCAGAGTCCCATCCTGGACCACTTGAATCAGAGTCCTTGTGGGTGGTAAGGTATCATTGGTAGAGAACCAGTGCCATCACCCTGCGCCCAGCATTCCTGGGTGACAGTTTCTCTCCTACCTCTGCTGCCTTTAAGGATCTAGGGGCAGACATGCCTCTTTTCAGAATATGGTGTCTTGTATTTTTCTTTCCTGATTGCTGAGGGGACTTTTAAAGATGGGTTTGGGCATTTCTGAGGCAACATGAGTAACTATAAAACCAAAGATTAGATAGATAGATAAATAGAAAGATAGACAAATAGATAGATAGATAGATAGATAGGAATTAGTGACTTTGGAGACCAGCACTTTGTCCTAGATGAATGAATATGGAAGCCCTCAATATGTTTCTGCGACCTGGCCCTGTCTTTCTAATTGCTCTTTGCCTCTGCCTCTCGCCCCCACCCTCACCCCAAAACCCTTATTCCACCAAGCTGAGGTAAATTGCCTGGTAGTTAAGGCCAGAGGTAGAGGCTGAGCCACATGCTAAAGAGCTGCTCCAAGTTCATAAAGGTACTCAAAGACAAAAATAACTTTGGTGGTCAACCTTGGGGAATGCTAGGGAACCAATTCATTATTTTAAAAAACAATGAAGAAAATAATTAAGAATTTATCTTTTTTATATGGGCTGTACCTCCTATTATAAAAATATTCCTACTAATCAAAGAAGGACTAAGCTAATCAAGGATTTACCACTTTTAAACTTTAATGGATACTAGAGAATAATCATCAATGGTTGCCAAAGTTACAAAAAGACAATCAGTGTAATGTATATCATGTTGAAAAAACAAATCACCTTCTGTGAATGGTTTTGGGTCATAATCCTGAAAGACAGAATCCTCAGTGCCATAATGTCAAATGTTGAAATTATGACTGATCAAAATCCCTAAAGTCTAAAATCTTGAAAGGTCAAAGTATGTTGAAAAAATAATTAAAATGTTCTTTGAAAGAGATTTATTTTCATTTTGAAAGAGGATTTAGCCAAGAAACATAAAAATATAATAGAAAACCTCCAAGGCCACTTTGTACAATAAAATATGCAACGGTAACGTTTCTCCCTGGCAGTACTGGGGATTGAACCCAGAACCTCACATGCTAGGCAAATGCTTTACCACTGAGCTACATTTCCAACCCCATCTACCTATCATCTATCTATCTATCTCTGTTTGTTTATTTAGGGTTTTTTATATATATATATATATATACCAGGGATCAAACTTGGGATCTTGCACTTGTGAGGCAGGTGGTGGAACCACTGAGCTAAATCCCTGGCCTTTATTTAGGTTTTTTGATACAGGGTCTCATGATATAGTTAAGGGTAACCTGGAACTTGCTATGAAGTCCAAGTTGGCCTCTATCATCCTCCTGCCTCAGCCTCCAGAGTGCTGGAAATACAAGTGTTTGACACCATTCTTTAACAGTGAAACATACTTATGTTTCACAAACATAAAACACTCATATATTATATATATCTTGTTGGTATATGTATCATCAAGACCTTCATGAGTATAATATTTTTGGACACTAAGAAATAAGCCAAAATGTTAAATGTATAAATACAAATCACCGTTGTTGGTAATAGTCTGTACTCAGTTTTATAACCATGGGCATCTGAGTTATTTGGCAGTCTTTTGATGAGGTTGATCAAAAACTGCAGTGAGTTGCCACTGCATATGCAGTTACCCAAAGAGCTGAAATCTCAAATAATTTTGTATCACAAATGCAGATGTACACAAAGGACATCTCTTCATTTATTGAAGAAGTTTCAGCATTTTTACATACACAGACAATGCTTACTCTCAAAATCAACATTATAATGATGCACTTTCATGGGATTAGGTTTGCAAAAACATGCATAAGATGAATTAGAATGCTCTAAAAGTCTTTATACAATTTATACCTGTAGTACTGAAAATGATGCAAAGATGAAATACATAGCATATCAAATTATTTTAAAAATGCCTACAATTTAAAATTGTAGTGAAAATGTTAAAAAGAAAAAACCTGACACATGACAAAGTGTATTCCAGGGATAGATTATGGGCAAATGCACAGAGCAGGTCTATAATAGCTAATGGATATTCAGGATTGTTCTATTTCAAAATCTTACAACATGATGAATATCTGTATTCTTTCTTTTAAGGTATGGCTCTCTTCTGAAAATACAGTCACATCCATTTTCCACATGGTGCTATTCTTTTTGAAATTCTATTATGATCTGATATACACTGACATAATCATTCCCTAGTTTCCCATAATATATGCTATTCTTCCATGTTGTTTTGGGGAATTCATTCCACAGGTACCAATAAACCAGCCCCACATTTGGCCAAAGCAACAATGGTGATTGAACAGCAACATCATTGGATGTCATCTTATCCAACTGTGCACATGATTATTTTTGAAACAGTTAACTTCAGTTCTAAAATGCAGTTTTAGTTCAGTGAAAGTTCCTGGGATGTCATTGCCTAGAAGGAATTCCAATGCAAATAAATGAATTTTTAAATTAAGCTCTTGTTGCTGCCATATTGCATGGCCAATTCACTCAATCTGAATTTTCTGTCAAATATATTGGGCTGAAAGGGAAAAGAAACAAAGTTTATTAGTAACACTTTATCACTTGATCACACCTAATTCCAAGTCTATTATTATGGTTTGGATATTTAATTGAAATTCATTTTCTTCTTCCATGTCTATCAAATCTTCAAATAAGCATTTATAGAGTTTCACCTTGTCCAGGCATTGACTCAGAGATGAGCAGACAAGCTCCAGAATTTTCACACCCAACAGAAGCATGAATTGTACATATTTGACTAAAAACAGTGGGAAGAGTTGTGAAAGTGCCATTCATTAGCCAAAGTGAAACATGCACTGTTTGTTTTTTTAATGTTGGATTTACTTGTAAATATAAATCTGTCTTCCTCCCCAGTCAAGCTCACCATTTAATGTGTTTTGTGACACTGGAGGGACATATGTATTAGCCAGTGTGTTTGGTTCTTAAGGTTGCTGAATTCTTGTCGAATATTTTTCTTGGACAAAAGGCATTTTTAAAGTCAAGCATGGAGCTGTGTGTAAAGAGGCAGAAGTATTTCACAACTGATTAATTTAAAAACTACCCTATGTACAACTGAAAATGGACTAATCTCTTTCTCAGAATTTCGCTTCCTACTTCTCTTATAAATCCTCTCTATGCCTTTCCATGTGGAATTGTGGTTTCCAGGACTTCAACTTTCAGAACTATGGTATTCAGGATTGTGTCTTTTAGAGTTATTCTTGGCACCACTGTTAATGCTATTATTAATTATTTATTCTTGCCAAAAGTTGAACTTGAATCTAAATCTACCCACCTGTTAGGAGAAAAATTAATGAATATCTCTTTAAAATAAGAAGAAAACAACTATCCACATAGTACTGTAGGGGGTTAGAGTTTAACACAAGTATATGGATTCATGTTTAGCTTGATATACAGGTAGCTACATATAGAAATATTAATAGGTATGTGTATATACAAGGGCTAGTATGCATGCATTTAT